TTGCTCCTGTTTTTGATGATGTTGCTGCTGTTTTAGTTTGTTTTGTTGTTGCTGCCATCGTTGTTGTTGCAGCTATCATTGTTGCTGCTGCTGTCATTGTTGCTGCTGCTGTTGCTGTTGCTGTTGGTGTTGCTGTTAGTGTTGCTGTTGGTGTTGCTATTGGTGTTGCTATTGGTGTTGCTGTTGCTGTTGTTGTTGCTGTTATAGTTCGTGCGGATGATGTTGTTACTGTAGTAACATTAAACCATGTAGCAGCAAGATCTCTAATGTTAGATGGTAGTGGTGAAGTATTACCATTATTCTTTCTTCTTTTATATAATATAATTCTATCATCATCGTCTCTTTCATTCCTATCATCATCGTCTCTTTCTTTTCTATCATCATCGTCTCTTTCTTTCCTTTTACTTCCCTTACTACTTTTTTCTGCACCCGCACTATCACTTTTTTTTGCTTTTTTTTTCTTACATAGATCTTCATCTCCAGTAGAAAAGTTTGCGTCAAATTCTGGATCTGAAATATTAAATAGGTTTAAAGCTTCTTTTGGTAATGCCCATCTTGGGCAATTAGGTGGTGGCATTCCAGTCATATCAACTTGCCCTTCATAATGCTGTTTATGCATTCTATTGTACTTTGGCTGCAATTGTTCTACAAATAGATCAATACGCTTATGGAATAGCCATTTTAACTGAATAAGTAAGACGATAGTCTGTTAATATAATATTCATACTATTATAGTTTAATAAAGTAGATTAAATTAGGCAGCATTATAAATAATGCTGGTTAATTTTATCTTATAATACGATTTTTACGTAGTAAAAAATTAAAAACATGTATAAATAATATTTTAAAATTGATTAACATTATTTTTTTTTCAGCACCAGTAAAATATTTACTTATATTAGGGCCTCTCCACCATTTGTCAATACAAACTAACTTCTTAACCTTCTCACTGACCATCGACTGATCCTCATCCGTCTTCCACTTCTCATCAAAATGATAGGGATTCCCTCCTTTGCTTTTTGTTAATTTCTCCAGATCATTCTGTGAATATCTCCTAATGCTTTTATTTCCTGCCTTTATTAAATACGATAATGCTTTTCATCTCTTTTTCCTCTTCTATAATACAGTAATTTAAATTATTATATTTCACTACAAATCATTTACCTGATAAATCGGTAAGAGATTACTGATATATTAGGTAAATAATTTGTGGGCTAAGAACAAATCATTTATCCAATATATCGGTAATCTCTTACCGATTTATCAGGTAAATGATTTGTTAGTTAGGTAACTCTAGAATTGATTTAAAAAATAATTTACATGCCAAATTTTATTATGCTTACCTTATTCACCTTACTATTTTTTCCCATTCTGGCAGGATTGTAGGCCTTTAATTTTGGATCAGCATTTATTGTTGCTGTCTGAGGCTGCGTCTTATGATGCTGTTTTAAAATTTTTTCAATCACTCCAGAATAGTGCCGATATCCTGGTAATTTTTTTGCAATAGCCAGAATCAGCTTTTGCCTCACGTCCCACGATTAACTAGCCCATTGTTTAGTCAGATCAGGCTTTAGGTCAGATAGCTTATCACCTTCTATTAATACTTTAATTTTGTCCTTTGGTAATAATAATTATAATAATATTAATAATAAAAGTAAATTAATTATAATAACATTAATAAAAGTAAATTA